GGTTGTCTCGGTCCTTGCATGAGCATGGCAAGAATAATATACTTTCTTTTGAAACATAACCAGGGAGGAAGGTTATAGTTAACAAGCAGAACTGGCCATGTACCGTGACGACTGCTCAAATCACCAAATGGATTAATGCCGTCCGTACACATTGCGAAACGCATGTTTCTTGGGTCATTTGAGAATTCCTGGTAAATCCTATCGATTGTCCTCCACTGTACTGAATCTGCTGGGTGCCTCAGCATACTATCGACTTTCCGTTCTTCGGCATGCCAGCGCACTAGCTTAGCTTGTTCCATATTCGCAAACATTCTCTTCATGCGCTCCGCAATTGGGAGATACCACACCACCTTTGCTGGGCCTCCCCTCTTTGACTTACTTCCTTCACCTTCACTCTTTGCTCGTTTGTATCTTGATGCCCCACAGACAGGGCAGACATCCAAGTCAGCGTATTCCTTGTAGTACAAAATGCAGTCATTCGGACATGCATGAATTCTTCTGACCTTCAGGCCCAACGGACATAATACTTGCTTCGCTTCATATGTTGTCTGCGGTAAATTGTTCCCCTCTGGCAACAGGTCCTTTAACAGCTCAAGAAGTTTTGTAAAACTCTTGTCCGACCAGCCATTACTAGCCTTAAGCTTCATGAGTTCCAACACGCATGACAACTTGCTGTGCTTCGACTTGTATCCATCATACAAGGGCATCTGACAATCTTCCACCAACTTACTAAACTTCTCAAAATCTCTGTCGTTGTCCTTTACATCTTCAATGTCATGCAACATTGTAGATAGACATTGAGTGTCCAAATATATGGTCTCTCCACCTAAAGGAGAAGGTACGAACATGCCTTCTCGAGCTGCGGCGGTGTTCTCTGCATCCTGATCCAACAAATCTTCAGCTGCGACATCAGGCGCCTCTTGCTCTCCATGCTTGGTGCAGCAGGTATATTTCTTCATAAATCCATTCATTATCAAATGAGCATGCACTTCATCGCTATCAACGATCATCTGTTCATTCTTACAGTCCCTACATGGACACAACATGTGCATGCTCATCCTACTTTTTCTGTCATTATCCGCAAATGTGACAAATTCAGTGACCCCCTCTCTATACTCGGTAGACGAACGATGCGCATAGTATATCCATCTACGATCCATCTGAAATCAACAACATACGAAGAAAAATATATGATGATCGATATATTGAGAAGGAATGGAGAATAATGTGTTTTTTACCTTGAATTTTAGCAAAAAATCGCCCCCTTGCCCTCCCAACCGATTTGTGAACAGTGAACTGGTTGGGATGGAAAGCAGTTGGCGGTTTGGGGGTATTTATAGACCAAACACACCTCAAACAGGTTAGATTAAAAAAGCCCGTCAAAGGTATGACCAGTTGCCCGTCACTGGTATCCCCTCACCTGTGACGGGCCAGAAAAGAAAGCCGCCCACCACCTGTGACGTTTTATAATGCCTCGGCCCGTCACAGGTGAGAGGATACCAGTGACGGGTTGGAAGCAAAACTCGTCACTGACTCACCTGTGACGAGTTTTCCTTTCGGCCCGTCACAGGTGAGGGGATACCTATGACGGGCCGCGGCCGGATGCCTCACCGATGACGGCATCCCGTATGACCCGTCAAAGGTGATGGTCACCAGTGACCAAATCGTTTGCCCGTCACAGATATCCCGTCAGAGGTGTGAGGATCTGGCGTAGTGCGGGAAGCCTCACGCTCCTCCTCTATTTATACATGAAAAACCCTCCTACTCAAAGTAGACGTAGGACTCCTATTCACAATAGGACTCAAACCTTAATTTCCAAACTCATCTAAACCGGAATTCAATCCACATAGAATCCCAGCCATATAGCAAATCTCAGCGCCGTCAACCGAGCCGGACTCGGTCTCCTACGCTCGTCCCAGCTAACTCGCTCCTGCGGCTTGTCCTCCCAGGCCGAGCCAACCAGCAAGCAGCAAGCTGCACATGTACAGCACCGTACATGCAAACACACACATGCATATGCAACAGCATGCATATGCACCATGCTACAGTACCACGAGTAACCAAATATTATCACACAATTTCCTTCGCGAACACCGACGCTTGCACGCACACCTCGTGAAGCCCGTTGCGAAGATCTCTCCCACACGATATCCATCCACCGTGTGCCATCTCGTATCCAACTTCGTCATCCGGTATCCTTAACCGTCTGGACCTCAACTCCTCCCTGAGTCTAGTCCCGATCTCCACCGTTGACCGAAGTTGACCTCCAAGAATCCTGACTCTAGTCACCTTCTCATATGGTATCCCGACCACACTAGACCTCTGCTCCTCCCTGAGCATAGTCCCGGTCCTCACCATTGACCAAGGCCGACCTCAAGTCACCTGCACACAATCAGACAAAACAACCGTTCCTGGGCACAGATATCACAACCTGACCCACATTAGTCACACGCACTCACACCAACATTCACACAAACTCTCAAACCAATTCTTTGAATAAATCATTCGCACAGCCAATTATTCATCACAAATAATAATCATGACAGTGATTTCACATATAGCTAGTACTCTGCTTCAAGTTCGGGGATGCATGGAGATCGTCACGCTGGTCAGTAAACATGCATCACCATACATATAGTCATCACAATCCCATAGGGCAAGTTGTACATTGATCACTGCCGAAAATTTGACAATTTGGCCCCTTTTGAAAACTATTTGCAAATTTGGTCCCTGGCAAAAACTATCACCAGATCTGGACCCCGACCTCAGCGCCAAGGCCGACGGCGCTGAGGTTGAACAACTCAGCGCCAACCGCATCGGCGCTGAGTACTTGACGGCCCTAAGGGGAGGATGGACGGAACGGCGCAATGTCAGCGCCGACCGACTTGGCGCTGAGCTTCGGGACCTCAGCGCCATCGGGTCTGGCGCGGAGGTCCTATCACCCTTGGCCGAGCCGCGCCCAGCAGCCCGGGCCTTCTTTCTTCCTCAGTGGCTCTCGGCTGAGGCGCGGCGGCGCCGAACCATCTCTCTCCTCCCCTCCAAAAAATCGAAAAAATCTCCACTAAATCGTCGCATTTTGGAGGGGAAATTATTGGAGGACATAGTGGCAAGGTATTCTCCTCAGAATCCTCTCGTCATTTCGCATTTTTTTGCTTGGATTTGCTCATTGATGGATGAACCCTAGAATCGTGATTTGGGGTTATTTTCCCAAATTAGTTGGTTCTCTACTCTGTGGTTGTAGTTGTTGTTGGTGATGTAATGGTTAGATGCTCATAGAACCCTAATTTTTAGTGGAGATTTTCGGCACTTAGGGAAGAACCCTAATTTTTCCCCCAAATTAGTAAAGAACACTTCTTTTTTGTTTAATTTTCATCACAATGCGAGAGTTCAAATTTAGGATGGATCGTTACAAATGGAAGTTTGCGTATGTTTAGATATTTATGGACAATTTCGTTGGGGGACATAGTTGTAGGTTAGATTTTTTTTTATTGCAAATTCAAGTTTTTAAAAAATGCAATATGCTAATATGTCGGTTAATGTTGTAGATGGATAGATTAGTACGATTGCACTATGGTGGTTCGGTGGTAGAGCAAAGTAACAGTGGTAACAATTTCGAGGGGATGAGTGTTAAGCAACTTATATTTGGTGGAAAACCTAGTTTTGAGGAGTTAGTTTGTCATACAAAGGATGTGCTGGGGTGGAGCAATCAGTCTATAGCTATACAAGGTAGATATGATGTTGGAGCAGGACCCATTTCACACAAGTACATGCTAGATTTGAATGGGGAGTTGGAGTGGAACACATATGTGGATATAGTGTTGGGCTCCCAATTCAAGTCGCTTGAGGTGGTTGCTTCGAAGCTTGATCGTACTGACTGCAGAGATGATTCTTTTGACCTCAATCGCACACTGTTTTATGATGAACCAAACTATGAAACATTTGATGATGAAGGAGATATGAAAAGTCAGTCGGTTAAGTCTTTGACAGTTGAGGAAGTCATAGAATCTCAAGGGATGGGGGTTGATGTTAACATGCAAAAGAAGGAAGCAGTTGATGCGAAGGAGGGAAGGAGTCAGGAATCTGAAAGGGTGGAGATAAATGTGGAGTTGCAGAAGGAGGAAGCAGTTGAGGCTAATAAGGCAAGCAAGCTTGAATCAGAAGGGGTGGAGGTAAATGTGGAATTGCAGAAGGAGGAAGCAATAGAGGTGAATGAGGCAAGGAGTCAGGCAGTTCCGATAGTTGGAAATCATGTTGATGATGATAATGAAGTGGCAGATGGATCAATGGGGGGAGGTAGAGAAGAGCGTACAACAGATGCTCAATTAGCATCCTTGGTGCGGTTCTGTTTTCGAGACAAAATATATACTCGGAGGGAGTGTGAGGAGACTTTGTTGATGAATGGATTGAGTGTTGATTTGCTGCACGAACATTCAGAGGAGTATGATGACACACATGAGGAGGAGGGATATGAGGTTGAGTATGCCGTAGACTCAGATGACGATCGTCCAGTAGCCAAGATATCTCAGGAAGAAAGGGAGGTGTTTGAGAAATTAGTTGGATGCAATCCAGAGGTTGTTCAGTTCGAGGATGTCAACAATTCTGAGCTAGCAGTTGTTGATGGAGGAGTAACATACAATGGCATCATCGATGCAATGGGAGAGGATATCATTGTGCATATCATTTTCAAACTTTCTCTTCGGCATTGCTTACTCAAGTTCTAACCAAATTATTTGTTTTGTTGAATGATTGTAGGTTGGACCGTAGGAAGAGCAAGAAGATTACGGACTGGCATGCTCATCATCTCCATCTTATTGAGCGGTGGGACAACATAGCAGCTAACGTAGTGCCTCACGGAGTGGAGCACAACAAGACATACTTCGACGAGTACCTAGCTTGGCTCCTGAGGAACTACCGCCTTTTCCTTCGGCCGGCATGGACTCTAGCTGACATAGCTACAGATCCCGAGGATGTTGAGGAGATGAACGAGTATGACACCCACACTCGAGCAGGGGCGACGGTCGAGTACGGGCCTGTACGTGACCGAGTGGTAAGTATTAAGGCTCAGAGTTGTTCATTTCACATACACCTACATGTTCTCACAATATTAAATCCACTTGCAGGCACGTGAGCTGATGAGGTCCGTGAACGACGCGGGTGTTGCCCTTGGCACACCTGCTGGGTCAGAGAATGAAGTTGGGATACTTCGGAGCGCACTTCAGGTAATTAACCAATTAGTTCAATCCATGAATCATTTCACTTGCCTCTAACTTATTTGTTTTGTTCTTGCAGAGGCTAAAACAACGAAGTCGGATGTTAGCGGCAAGACTTGGTTGTAGGTCCACAAACGCAGTCGACCCACAACCAAGACTAACGCGGACACAGGCCGGAGAAACAAGTCAACAAAGAGCTGAAGAGGAAGGGTAGGAAGAACATGATGAAGGGGAGGAAGAACATGAGGAAGGGGAAGAAGGAGATGGACAGAGTGACGAAGAGGAAGAGGAACAACCCGAAGAAATCGGGTCATCTCAGCTTGCAGGTGCCCCGCAGCCATCGCAACCTTCCCAAGGTCGCCCGCATAGAAAGAGAGCACCGGTGGACCGGTACACACCTTCCACTAGTGGCCGGAGGGGTCGGCACTAGTGGATTACTTTGTACTTAACACTCTAAGCAGCGTTAGACTTATATCAAACTTTAGATGATGGTTGATGGATGTGTTGAACTCTATATTTTGTGATGGTTGATGGATGTGTTGAACTCTAAATGCTGTGATGGTTGATGGATGTTCAGTTGCTGTGATGTCTTAAATACTATGTGGCTGTCAATTTTATGATGCTGTCAATTTCTGTGTGGCTGGCTGTGCTATGCCAGCCACTGCTTGACCTCAGCGCCAAATAGAATGGCGCTGAGATTGTGCAGGTCAGCGCCAGAGCAGTTGGCGCTGAGGTGCACAAGATCAGCGCCAAGGTCTTTGGCGCTGAGATGCAGCCCACTCAGCGACCCAGCCATCCCTCGGGTGGCAACCTCAGCGCCAAATCGGCTGGCGCTGAGATTCAGCCCCCCCAAACGTCAGCAGACGGCCATACACCGAAGGAAACGGCCGTCAAGTACTCAGCGCCGATGCGGTTGGCGCTGAGTTGTTCAACCTCAGCACCGTCGGCCTTGGCGCTGAGGTCGGGGTCCAGATCTGGTGATAGTTTTTGCCAGGGACCAAATTTGCAAATAGTTTTCAAAAAGGGCCAAATTGTCAAATTTTCGGTTGATCACTGTATTGTTGCAATATCCCTCCACGATCAAAGGCTTACTTTGGGCTCGGTCGCTCCAATCAATTAAGAGATTGACTCTGAGGTTGATGATATACAATGTTCAATTGCGAGATTAGCTATCGAGACTAACGTATATAGATGGTGATACTTGGAAAAAGTCTATCGGTCCCTATCTTTTTCAAGATAACTAGCCTAAAGCCGCACGTTCACGCGACTATAACCACCCTCTTTTATTCCATGTGTTTACATGTTTACATCAATTAGCTTAATTTTATAATAACTACTCCGTATTAACATTGTGAATAAGTATGGGTAGAATATAATTGCATGAAGGAACATTAACAAATTTATCATAATTTGTAACTAAGAATATAATCATAACAATAAATAATTTAGCATACATTACCGTGACATTTACCACAATCTGCTGAATTTCTAAATGTGTCATTTGAGGTCATATTGTAAATATGTTGTAATATGAAAAGCCCAACCCATCTTTTGGTTGAACGAAACATTGAGTGCAATGGCTACAGTTATGGTTTTTATTCACCTTCTGTGCCGCTGTTTTGTCCTGAGCAATGCTACACGTACAAAATTTTTCTTACTAAACATTTACTAACAATCATCTCAACCGTTTGATTTAAGTAGATGGAAGTTATAAAAAATCTAGATGCACTCATAGCATGACATATCAGTGTTAGTAAGAATTTAGTAAGAAAAAGTTAGTACGTATAGCATTTTCCTTTTGTCCTATCTGTGGAGGCGCAGCCATAACTGCCCACTTCGCTGCTGCTTGAGCTCCGACCTTGACACCTTGTTGCCATCTCCCCGGCTGTTGCATGACCGGATGAACCCCTTATCCCCTCTTATATTCAACAGTAAACGATATACTACTAACACATAGTTAATTAAAGAGGAATATGCAAATGGTATCGCACATCCAGCCATAATTTTAATCACTAACTACGATTTACTTTAAAAACGACTAAAGTACCACTCTAGTAAGAAAATGGGAAATTTAGTTGTGTGGTAATTGCAATGTGCTCAAAATAGAGCTAACATGTTAAAAGAGCAGAATAAAGTCAGTTCGGGAGGATTATTATTTCTATTTCTCACTTCTTCTAGCTACTTTCTTCCTGTAAGCAGAATGAAACGATTAGTATTTGCTCCTCATTTTTTATAGTCAAACTAAAAATTGAAATATATCGTTGTGTTAAAAAACAATGAAAATGGCTGGTCCAACATGATAGAATATATTGTGTTCCTATAAGCTGCAAAAGCATTAACATATCTTAAAAATGCAGAACAATGCTTCTAATTTGTAAACTCTAAATACTACGGTCATTAATTATTATCTGCTATGATTCAAGAGTCTCACTTCGGTGCCTTCTACCTAGAGTAGAAAAAATCTGAACCGCTGATCTCATTTGATCCAATGGTTCAGATCTATTTTTACTACCACCACACTTAATGGTAGTAGAATCGTGGAGGGTACTTTTGCCCAGGAAAAATTATCTACGGAGGGATATTTTCGTCCTTTCCCCCCGAATCGCGCATCTGGAGCCGACACGGAGAGAACCCCGCGGCTCCCATCACCGCCTTGACGACCTCGCCTGCTCCACTGCCCTCGATGCCTCCTACTCCCTCGCCCCCGCCGCACTCGCCGCCTCAGCCGCCCTCGACGAGTTCGCATCTCTGTCCGGGATCGCCAGAGCTGCGCCCTCTCCTACCGCTCCCCCGCGTCGGCCCACCTTCCGACGAGTTCGCCTCTCGGATCTCCGCCTCCGATCCCAGCACCGCGCCACCGGCCGCCGCCGAGACCTCGTCCTCCTCGCTATCCCCCCTTCCTCGTCGTCGGCCTCCTCCCCCATGCTTGGCTCCAGCCCTGTCCATCTCCGCCCGCCGTTGATCCCACAGCCGCGAGGGCAAGCCCCCAATCCATATCCTCCCAAGCGGAACCCGCAGCCTCCGGAGCCAATGACCACCAATCTCTCGACCTCCGAATCATCATCCAAGACTCCTCTCATTGGCTGTAGCGCTGCTCTCCAACGGATTAGCTGACATGAGAGACTCTTTTTCTGCTTTGCAGGTCAGATTTGATTTGTTTTTCTTGCTGCTTGCAGGTTTGCAGATCGAACATCTGCACTGAATCTTCTTTTTTCGTTGGCCTCTAATTCTCGAACAGTTTTTCTGCTTGTCTGCAGTTCTTGGTCATAATTTTTCCTCCTAAAAGAAGGGATTCAAGTTGAATGCCAGTAAACTGAATCCGGAGCAAGTGAGCTTGTTCAAATGACTGAGCATGACAAGGTGGACAAGCTAATGATCACTACGTCAATCAACGCTTGAGAGATTCCTGGTGTGCTATGTCCTGTAATTCCTGTGAATTCATTATCTCAAGATGGCTTTGGGTGGCTTTGGCTTGTTACTTATGGCCATGTTTTTTTTCAGAACTATAGCTTATTAACAGCTTGTGGTTTTGAAAGTACCCATCTGTGTATATCATCGTTTTTGTGGTTCAATGTATATTACTTGTTGTAATTGCAATTGTAAAGTCTATGTAAAAAACATACCGGATTATTCTTCCGTTGCCTTGTATCTGTCATTGCTGGATTGGAGTGTTTCGATTTGTCCATCGTGTGTAATATTCAGATATATAACTAATATATTTAAATTTCATATGAAACAATCAAGCTGAATGGAAACCAAATACCTACAGCAAGAAACATCTATGGAACGCGATGCACAAGCGCCGGCGGTGGCCGGACCTCACGATCTACTTTTCTTTTTCTTTCCCTGCGCTCTCCTTTTTGATTAATGAGGAAACGGCGACTCTGCTGTTCGATGAAGAGGGATCGGCGACGCTTGACCATAGGACGCACAAATGAGAAAAAAAAATTAAGTGCCAGATTTACCCCTATTCGGTTTTAGCACTTTACTAATCTACCCTTTAAAATAAACGGTTGAGATTAATTCTACTTGGAGTAGAATACTGCAAGTAGAGGGCAACGGAGCGTCTCTCATGATTCAAACATTTATAATTTGATCTTCCAATTTTTCAGAAGGTAATTTGTCATGTCTAACACTTCAGCAACTCCTTAATTTCCGAATACCTATTATTAGCAAGGAGAAAGAAGAACAGGGTTACCTAACAAGGATTAAATATAATTTGAAGGACAGATCTTTGCCCATCTCTATATAGTAAACAGCATGTGTGCATTCATGACAACCTAAACTTTAGTACTGCTATATAAATTGGCGTAAAGAGATTCCACACTGAGGATTAAAAATAATTTTAAGGACAGAGGTTTGTCCATCTCTAAATACTTTTAAGGTAAGTTTATGACAATTCAAAGATCAATTAATTAATTTAGACCAGTTCCAATGTCGATCTATATAATTGGCAAGAGATATATATGAATATGGTAACACCTATTGCTCCAAAAAAAATGTGAAACTCTGAATTAAGGAGATTATATATCTCTTGCCCTTGAGTAAATCATAGGCCACGATCAGTGAGCTAGTTAGCCAGTGAGCGTACACGTCGAATCAATTTTTTTTATATAATGAAGCGAATTTCGACCTTTATTTTGAAGAAGCTATAACCATTATGTCGGATCGATTAGTCGAGTGTATGTATATATGCTCACCTGTCAAATCTTGATTTGGTAAGTAAAAAAACACATAAACATAAATTAAGATGTCAATTAGCAACTATTCGCAATAATTAACCTCTTGGCTTACTATCAATTGAAGACAGAACAATCTTCTAAAAAAAAACAGTTCAATATGCATGTAAAATTTCACTATAGCTTGAAAAGCAAGACGATTTTATTATAAAATAGACGATTCATATGCATGCTAGTTGAGTAGGTCACGTCCTCCATTACGGGACAGGCAAATCAACAACGGTGTTTAGGCCCTAATTGTATAATGAAAAGTCAGCCTGCTCAACTTTGTCCGGAAGTCAACGAATCGATGGATTTTAAAGTAGATAAATAACTCCATCTCAATGGGTCAGCACGCGCAGCCCGGGCAACTGCCCATGTTGGCCGGGTAGTTAATCCGTCGCTGGACAGACAATCATC